CGAGGAGGTGGAAAATCATCCCATAAGGACATCCCATAAGGTGTCACGTCAGAAGGACCTTACCAGATTGGGACACTGACAGTCGGAATGTGTTTTCTAATTATGCAACCTCAAAAAGCTAAACCCCGGGTATTCCAAACGACGGTTATGGGCTGGACGACTGATTCTGAATGCCAGACATCTTTTATCTCTTGCTGCATAGAGACTTTCCATAGTCTGTGGGAAGTACTGTCATACAATTCTGGCCATTTGTTGGACATTACAGAATTTGCTTTTGTTCAGTTTTCAAATATGGAATTGAAAACTTTGTCAATATATTTTTAAAAACATAGTCTTGAAACTGGAATCGTTAAGCTCGAGAAAGCTACTTTCTGATTTATTAATGCTGACTTCCTGCATTCCTGTTCATTTATCTGACTCTACCTGTAATGGGATATCTTCAGATATTTGTGTAGCGGCAGCACGCACTAAGATCTGATTTTATTGAGATTGCGTGGAAAATTTACTTTTAAACCTGCATTTGTTCTTCAATGACTAGCCACCCAAGAAGCATTCAGACTCTCCTGCTACAAACTCCGTATACACACCCAAAACAGATTCTGTTATTTTTAATTCAGTTCATTTCGTAAGTATATGTTATCGGCCATCAGTCCATCAACCCATGATTACATTTGTATTATAATCGATGTTAAGCATAAGTATTATGAAAAGGTCAAATGAAAGATTGAAGAATGCGATGTATGCTTATGCAAAAAAGTTTTCATAGAACAGGTAAGTGGGGTGCTATCATCAAAGTCTATTAAACAGTGTTCAGTTAGAATAGTAATAGTAATCGATAAAGCCCTCATTAGTGTCTTGTTACAGCAACACAAACAGGGACACATAACAAATTGTTTTGATTTACTGTAACCATGATTACATATATCTCCATTTATCAAAGGCAACATTGTTTTGACAGTTATTGTCCAAGTTATTAACTTGCTCAACCAAAGAAAGCGCTCACACATATGTGCAATGTTCTGTTAATACAAAATTGGATAAATAATAAGTAAATGAAGGTACCCAAAACCCAAACAAACCCAGTAAAGACCAATTCACCACTTACGTAAATCCTCTATAAATCTCCCAAAAGTACTTGGATAGGATAACCGGGTTACTTGTAAATGCAAAGTCTTCTCCTAGCTGGCTCTCAGAACATGAAGAATTTTTCACGAATAAATAAGTTATATTATTCGAAGTAACCAGTTCTCATAAAGCAGGGTTATACATTTCTTCACATTTCATATAACCAGTCCAGTCTTACATAAGCATGTTCTAAAAGGAGGTACCAGACAGAATGCATTCTGTTTCCAGAATGATTCTCCCTTTTCCTGGTCCCTGGTTTGATTTCCTAAACTTATGTGAAGCTCATCTATGAAAATTTGGTCACAGACAAAAATGAGAGCATGCCAGAGATCTACTGCAGTCTAAGGTTAACCATGTCAGGCTGCATAAGATATAGACTCTTTGGAATATCACAATATACAGCATGACTTCACAGAGCGAGGTGTACATCAACAACTACGACAACAACAAGGGGAAATTCCAATACAAAATATATTTTGTACATACAATGTTTATTTTGTGTAGCCAACAGAACACATTTGTTGATGCAGCCTATACAAATATTGTTTATTGTCTGTATATGTGGACATATTTTAGCACTTCTTTATTCAGTTTCTTTTTCTTTCTTTTTGGACTTTAGTAAGGCTTACGTTAACTACATAGAGTATGTTGTTGATTGTTTTTTCTTATAAATAACTTCATTGAAAACATCACCAATGATTATGTACGGGACAGTATTCATGTGTATGTGACAATAAAATTTTAATAATACTTTCATAATGATCACTATATTTGAAGGATTATGAAATAATTTGTATTAATTTATGTTGATAGCATTTAACAAAATAAAGAAATAGAACATTTGAGCAGACTTTATTAACGGAAACATCAATAATAACATATGTTCACGAGTGCAATATTATACAAAAGCATTCGTTGATTTCAAGGCACCAGCTGCAGCTTCACATTTCAAAGATAATTAAGGAGTGACTGTGTATTTTTTTCGGTTCATTGAGGCATGTCCAAACTTTTGTAAGAATTCGCTATGCGGATTCATTAAGTTTGCACATCGTTTTTTTCTATTCATATCTCAATGAACCGAAAAAATACACAGTCAATGCTTTTAATTAAATTTGACAACAACAAAAATTGTTTTATCGACAAGAGTTTTACCAGAAACAGTTGTATATATCAAAACAGACAAAAATGACGAGATTGATAAACATTCGAGGTGTTGGAAAACATACTGTGACGTGACATAAATCAGTAGATTGTTTAATTTATCCACACAACTTGACACGCCTACACAGTCAGTTGCCAGTCAACGGAGTAAAGGGTCATAACAATGTTCATTGGACCTCTAAGGCAAGAGGCGAAAAGAACTGCAAGAGTCAGACTGTAACGAACCGGAAGAAATATGTCAAGGAGAAGGCGGCTGTTTCAAATAACATGGTCAGTTACCGCAAGATTCAAACATTACTTCCCTGATTACGGTAAAACACAGCTGGAAAAATGCTAGAAATGAAACCCGAGGACATGAAAGTTGAACCGAGGCGAGCGGGAAAAAACAGGCGAGCGAGCCTGCACGTTTGCTGTTTCATTCATTCTCGGCCTTTGGTTTCAAAGGATAGTTTGGACTATGAATATGCATGAAAGTCGCTAAATGTCCTGTGCATGACGATACACTTGAGCAGAAAGGGAATTCCCTAGACTATTATTTTGGGATTCCCCGACATTCCGCAGTTATAAAAGTAGTGCGCCTCGGTGGGCGTGGCTTAATTTTGTAAATTCATTTAGAAATGAATGCAATACCACGTGAATCAGAATGCAGGAATTTCAAGGAACACAACTAAAATTCAATTATTACAATATAATACAATGTGTAACTGCTGTTAAATGATACAACATATTTTGTACATTGATAAAACATTGACATACAGTGTAAGCCAGCTTTTTTACAAATAAGAACATCTATATATACAATTAGTATACAATTAGTTCACGAGTAGTTTTGTACCATGATGATACAATAAATGCAATAAAATGTATAAAGGCTTTTTTACAAATATGGATATATGACAATTTTTGGAATTAAGCAATATAATATTTCCGCATTACAATCAAACAGAGGCCATATATTTAAACCATTACATATATCTGTCCCTTGGCAACACAAACACCACATGATTCTTTACCACAGGACCCGTGAAGATCCAGGGAAGAATAGGTCTTCAGCAACACATGTTTGTCGTAATAGGCGACTATGCTTGTCGTAAGAGGCGAGTAACTTGGTTGATACATGTCATCGTTCCCAATTGCGTTGATCGATGCACATGATGTCAGTCACTGGATTGTCTGGTCAAGACTCGATTATTTAGAAACTGCCGTCATACAGATGAAATATTGTTGAGTGCGGGCGTAAACAACAACCACACACTCTAGATCACAGTGGTACTTCACCAAACCTAAAATATTTAATTTGTTTACATCAGCACACATTACTGTAACATCCTATCGTGTGCATCATCGAATGACCACAACAACGTTAGCTATTATTATGCTATTTTTATTCACGTTTCGAACCAAACCATATATATGTATGCATATTATATGTTTTTTATAACCCAGAGCGGCATTAATTTAACCAAGCCAGGCTTGTTTGCCAATCTGGCACTGTAAACTTAACTTGGAATAAAACAAAAACAGTTGCTTCAAGTATAATACTTGTGATGATATCTAATCTTTGCATATTTATATATTCTTGTGGTTGAAATTATTTTCATAACCGGAATACTGACATTTAATATTACAAGTAAAAAATATCAGTAACATCTCAATTTGTCTAGAATTAATTTCGTGTTCCAAAGAGCCTCTATTTAAACATCTTCATTTTTCCCTTGTTAATAATTTGTATTTGTAACATTTCTATATATTTTCATGTGTCTGTTGTACGTTAAATTTACGATCGTAGCTTGTTGAACAACACTAAGCTGAGCTCAAATTTATTTCAATATGGTAATAATAAGCGAAATTCCACGTCCATTGCATCAGAATATGATGACTATTCATCTATACCGTACAGACCGACAGCTCAGCACAAACCAATTTCCAAACTTTCAAGTGATTATAATAAAGCTTTCACCGCCTGAGTAATCCACTCTGTTTGCTAATCTGCTATGTGCACTACAGCATGTTACTATCCACATAGCGGCATACCGTACAGACCGACAGCTCAGAACAAACCAATTTCCAGTGATTATAATGTAGATATCACCACAAATGCAATCACCTCCGTCTGCTAATCCGTTATGTGCATTAGACCATATTGTCTACTGACACCCCGTGCAACACTCCAGGAAAAGTACCAGATGCCTCAATCACTTACCTGTCAATATCAGTGCGAGGAGAGTACATAATCCCGCTAACACAGTGGAGTACTGATTAAAATTAAAGGTCAAATTTCAGTAATGAACTAAATAAGTTATATTTTGAAATTTGCTAATGATTTTAGTCGACTTAAAAACACTGCATTTTGCACATATTGAACAATTATAAAACAATACATAGCAATTATCCCCCTTTTCAAATGCATACAACTAAAAACATTGGATGACTTAGAAACACTGCATGTTGGACATCCAGAACAATTATATAACAATACATGGCAATAATCTCTCTTCACGAACATATTCAAAGAAAAACAATTTTGTACGTAAACATCATCCTTACAAAGTTGTTTTGCTGTGTATATCTCATCAATACAAAATTGTTTAGACTTTGTATATCTCATCAATACAAAGCATTTACAAGCGTGTACAGCTGGACTTTTTGTGCAGTGAACAAACGAGCATCAGCTGCAAGGTGACGAGATGTCATATAAGTACACATCTACATACCTGTCCATACAGCCTTGAATCCCTTCATGACAGTCCCACTATCCGTAGTAAACACAACACGGTAGTAGACGGCTGACTGGACAGTGTAGCCCCCTCTATTTCCACTTAGATGAACAAGGAGGTTGTTGGAGGCGTCATACACCTGCAGTTTATAAATGGAGGGGTGAGTACCGTTTTGCCGACACCCCAATTTGCCTCCAAAAATAGTCATTCCCTTGGTCACCAATTGTGCTCGCCTCCTCGCTTATCTGTTTTATCATGCATAAGAGCCAGAATTTATGCTCAGATCAGCAAAATCAAACTTGAGGTTCAAGTTTATAAATTATCTGAAATCGTTAAATATATTGCTACATATCCAATTCACTTTCACTGATTTACCCGCCTTTGATGGAAATAAAAGAGACCAGATATATGGATTTTTTAAACCCCTGTATATACAGTATAGTGGATGTTAGCCTGCATCACATAGCCACGATGTTTTTGCATCCTTTCCTTCTGCCCAAAATCTGGCCACGCAAATTTGATATCACTCAGAGAACCGCTCTACATCTCAAACTTTGGCGGGGAAACATTGATGCACTGCATCGATGTCTTCTTGTGTCATCAATGGAAACTGACGTATTTCAGAATATGCCCTACCTTGCATTACGATACTCGTTTCTGATTGGTTACTGAATGGGCCTTTATTTCACCATGTCCCTTCTGACAGATAAGGTACAAATTTCATATACCCCACTGGGAAATGTCGAGCTCCCTTACTCTAACCAACGGGAATACAATTATATGATTATATATCCAAACTGAACACCTATTTAATGTAGTTTAGCTAACTTAACAGAGCATATCCGATTGTAATACATTGGTGATCACTCGATTGGTTATGTCGTCAGCTACCTGTCAGTCAAGATGTCCATGAAACGGTTCTCTAGCCATATGGATGATGTAATATTAGAAAAACAGGCGAACATTATTCAAGTAAGTAGGAAAGAATCGCACAATGCATCTTCCAAATTCGACGTGACTATCTCAAGAAAAAGGGACAGAGCACATTATTTGAGGAATTTGGTACGTTGCATTTAGCTCTCAAGTTCTCGGTACCTTATAAATGGACCTTCGTATGATGTGTTTAACATGACTATCAACACACGAGCTGTGAAATCGACAATGTCACTGACAACTACTGGTACAATTATACTTCCATGCTCTATTCCTTCTTGGTTCTAATTGACTTATAGAAACATTGCACACTACCTTGTATACGTCTTAACAAAATAACAACTATACATACCTTGACAACATCGTACCATGGCTGCGTAATGAACTCTTCAAACACGAGAGTGATCAATGTTTCTCCGGCATCAATGATATAGGTACAGTACAGGTTGTTGTTGTAATTGCCAGGGTAGTTAGGTGATGAGATAGAGCCAGACGAGCCTGTGTAGCGCCCACCGCATCCTGAAGTAGATACAATAAGACTTGTGTGTATGGTTTGGCTTGTTTCTTGTTTAACGCCGCACTCAGCAATATTACTGCTATATGACGGCGGTCTGTTAATAATCGAGTCTGAACCAGACAATCCAGTGATTATTATCATGAGCATCGATCCACGCAATTGGGATCGATGACATGCATCAACCAAGTCAGCGAGCCTGACCACCCGATCCCGTTAGTCGCCTTTTACGACAAGCATTAGTCACCTTTTACGGCAAGCATAGGTTGCTGAAGACCTATTCTACCTCGGAATCTTCTCTGGTTCTCTTGTGTGTATGGCTTGTCTACAAAAGCATTGCCTTAGATCAAGAAATTACTGAAATCCAAGAAACTGAAAACAAATGACAGTTGTTTGTGAATAAGGGACAGGTTAAAAAGTTAATCCAAAAGGTAACAACATCACTTTAAAATGTGGAAAGATATCTTTCTCTGCCAATCAATGCATAACTAGAGTTTAAGCTTTATGTAAATGTTGAAAGGTAATGTAACTTTTGCTGAAAGGATTTGTCCTTATATCACCAAAGAAAAAAGGTTTACTGATACTATCTCCTTTATAAATAATTTAAACATATATGTTGCACCATAAACCAATGCTGATGTTGCACCTAGATGGTGGATACATTATGGTTCTATGGCCTCAAAATGAGAAAAAAAAGTAAGTCTGTCATATCTAAAATCTGTCAATTTACACGACGGAAATTAAACAACAATTTATCAGTTACTTCACCAAGTAAGGAACTCTGAACAGTCAATAAGATGTATGTTGTTAGCAGTGACCAGAAATAACCTTTTGCAATAATTACAGTTATAAAAAAGGAAGAACAGGTGACCTGTGTCACTGGGAGAAGTTTCGCAGTCTTGCATCCCTTAGTTGTGCAAGGATCTGCTAATCACAATTTTGAATCAGAGATTTGAATTCAATATGAACCTCGATTAGCACCATACTGGTATTTGTGATGTTACAAAGTAACAAAGGCACCGTTTATGACCTGGTTCACTTTCGACACTAAATGCTGATTCTGATTCTAAATTGTTTCACACTTACGCAAAATTACATCTGGATATAACCAGAAATTTAATATTAGCAATACAGTTTAGTTTCTAGAATGCATACTGAAATGAAACTAAGTGTTCATCGGCAATGTGGCCTAGTCATCTACCTCGCAAATTTGTGAAAGTAGATACTATTAAAATCTACTCTCTGCGAACGAGAGGGAATTGTATGTAACACGCTGGGTTGACATCACCATAACGGAAACATTTACTTTTTCTTTTCCTAATTTGAAATTCAGGTTTCTTTGATTTAAATAGTCATCATAAAATTAGGATATGCAGGTTTCTAAATCATCTTCACTACCAAATATGTACAAAATATATATAAAAAACCCATTGAAAATGCTCACTGAGAGCTTGAAAATATAGGTCAATATTAAATTAATATAGTGTGGTCTGTAGACTAAATGAGGTAAAGGTTGCCACTTTAATTCTTGGACCTTTTCAAAACATTTGAATAAAATCCATGCAGTGCAGTGGCTCAACTGCTAAAAAGTTTTTTTGAGACATGTGTCCTAAACAGAAACGGACATTTCAGATGAGTGTTGAAACATTTATTGCAAATGTAAAAACATGGATAACTGATGTCTTAAAATGTAATAACCTGTAACAGCATTGACGGACATTAGAATAAAAACAACAGCAGACGGATGGACAATCTGGTATACCAAAATTAGGTAGTCCTGATGAGGTTTAGATATTCTACCACCATTAACAAATTTAAAAGATTATATGTTTCGAATAATTTCCATAACATTCTTTGAGCAATTGTCAACCCATTATTTTGCTGGTTGTGGTAAGTTGGATGTGTCCTGCTTTGGCCCATCCAATTTGCAAAACATCTTTGTTCAATGAGCCGTGAAGGCGGCCACCCATATACTTATATATTTTTAGAACTAAGTTAAACTGTGAGCAATGTCAAAAGCAGAGCGTAAACCCGTCAATCCATGAGTGAGTCACTGAGCAGTGCCAACAATACGGAAATGTTTGGCTATATGTTCTGAATGAAGGAGTTTTTAAAAACAACATGTTTCTTGGGGAAATATTACTTGACAAAAAGGAAAGTATTTATATGTCGATACATTTTGTGAGATAGACTTCCAAAACCTTACACACATTGTAGGCATGTGCTCAGTGTCAAAGTATATATTTTGCTTAATCCTTTAAATTGTCACGTGCCATGTAGCCTTTGTCTACTTTATTTCTAAAGATCAAAAGATTCAACGTATCCAGCTATGGTCGATTTAGACCAATGAAAATTATGCCCGGTTAAAAGTTACCATGGAGCCGATTCCAGAAAATTAATAACAGATCTACGTTACATTTTGTGACTTGTCATTTTAAAAATTGTTTAAGCATTCCATTTTGTTTATTATACCTTGAGTAAGTATATAGGAATTCCTTCGTCTGTTGAATACAAGTAAATTTTTAGATTGTAGTCAAATACTTAATGTACGTGAAATAAAACACTATTCCGTGATGTGAGTGGTGTAAAAGAGAGAGTAAGTGTGTTTAATTATTGTCACCGTTACTTATTTGTGGATACGGAAGTGTCTTGCATTGCTTTGGAACCTTTTATGAAGGAGATGGGGTGACCCGCAAAAAAGGTGGATTCCATAGGTCCATACACCAACTTTACTGATCCATGGAAAATATTTCAGACATTTTAAGAATTAATCGGTGAATTATTGATGGTTGTTGACAATTTGCATCAAGTGATTTTGCTGTGTAATAACAGCTACTAAAACATTGGCACTTATTGGAAGATAATATAGTGACAGGTTGATTTGTTTTGCAGTAAAGACTTGCTGTATGGACTTGCTTGAATGTGGCATTATTCATAATACGAAACACACAATTATCTACGTCTAAAATTATCCAGGAACGCTTGTTTGTACAGATGCAAAAGTAGAAACACTGAGGTAAAGGTCAGAGTTGATATTTAAAGTGGAAATTAAAGCTTTCACTTTAGTATAATGGCCGAGTGAAGGGAATGTCCTCTTACTGGAATGTCAATGCTGCAAGTGAAGGGCGATATCGCGATCGCTTCTTTCTCTAAGTAAGAAGCATTTTAAACATCATTACACCTGATTATCTTGTCAAACTATTAAAGGTATTTGCCATGGCGAATTCGGCATACAGAAAAGAATGGATTGGGTAGTAATGACATATTTGGAGTCATCAGCTTCAGATGACGTGTCACTGCTCTTGCTATTAACAATTTCTTGGATTCAGATTTATTTTGTTTTAGGCCAAGATGATAAAGGTATAAGGTAACTAATATCAGTTACTGTTCTTAATGATGTAAAACTGTACAAGTTCTATTCGGCTTTATCATTATCATTTTCACATGTATCTAGCTGAAATATTGCTGAGTGCAGCGTAAAACAACAAACCAACCAACCCATTGATGTTATCATGAATTGTGAAAATATAGACATGTGGGTTCGTGCTCACATGCCGACTGTCACTTGTACATAGCATGTGTTTTTCAGGCTCTGTGACAATCAACATGAATACGTTAATTACTCACAACATTTGTACAATCAGACAATTCATTTCAGGGATATTTAATGCCAAATAGACAATAACAATATTTCTGAATTTATTTTTTAGGAAGCAAATGTTTGACTATTTCCCACTCACTGAACTTTTGCAACAAATGGAAACTTTATTCTTCGACTTCTGTTATACAAGGTCTACTCCTAGATGCTCTATAGCTGCTATAGGACACTGGAAGCAAGATCCACTAAACATCCTCACGTCATTTGGAACTTCAGCATATTGACAACATATCCTCGATGTAAGGGACCATACCGGACAGGGTAGACCACCAGTTTATGACATGCAACAAAATCCTGATTCGAATCAGACATCTCCATAACCGATTTCAACCTGACTTGAAGATAGCTCGGACATTTCCGTAGCCTTCGCTCTCGGTCCAGTGTTGAGGTAATTTATTACTGCATGTCAGTTGTAAGTGCGAGGGGGCGGTGGGGTAGCCTAGTGGCTTCAGCGTTCGCTCGTCACGCTGAAGACCTGGGTTCGATTCCCCATATGGGTAAAATGTGTGAAGCTAATTTATGGTGTCCCCCACCGTGATATTGCTTGTATATTGCTAAAAGCAGTGTAAAACCATACTCATTCGCTCACTCACTTGATATGGGAGGAAAGCTGGAAAGGATGTAGCTCTAAGATAATTACCACTTTGATAAAAGAAGAAGAGACCAGTATCGGCATGATGCAGTGACAAACTAAGAAACACAATCATGCCCATCTTCCCGAGGCAAGGGCGTTTACTGACGATGAAAGTCCAATTTCCACCCTTCCCAAACCAGGCAAGTGCCACCAGTGGCGATTGCGAGGTATGTCCCTTCTGTCTCCTTTCTAATAACAATGAGATTCCACCTCATATGATTTGCACTTGCTTCAAAAAAATTGTTTATGCCATGTCAAAACGATCTGATCGATGTTCAAGATCTATATTGAAATTAAATGGGTCTTACCTCGCGAAGTGCATCATATCACTTGAGCACCTTGATTAAAACATGAACAGATTTGCAAAATGTCTGTCGACACCCAGTTTCCGAATACACATGCTTTGCAAATCCTGCAGTTGGCCGAAATCTGCACATTGAAATCCACGTTGTCTGCGAACCGGATGTCTAGGTTTTGACTGGACTTTGCATAGACCCGTTAGTCCAGCCGAACAGTAACTCTGGAATTCAAGCCTAGCTTGGCAAGGGTGGAAATTGGACTTTGATATTCAGTTAACGCCCTTGGGAAGATGAATAACACCTAAAAAACTCAATTCTGTACAGCGAATTGCGGTGCACTAGTGAGTGAGTTGAGTTTAACGCAGCTTTTAACAGTATTCCAGTCATATCACGGCGTGTCAGCTTAATGTGGGA